TATCTTTTTTCAACAGGGAGGGTAGGAAGTTGTATTTCAGCCGTTATAACGGGGGGAAGGGTCGAGTTAACTTTTACCCTTGTTTTACTCATTTTAGAGCCTGACCCCTCCCCTCCTGCATGTTTATTATTGCACAGTCTCTTAGATGTCAGTTGAAATTTGAAGTAGCTAATGAGAGCGCAAGGTGAACACTTTTAGCACAAAATCACTGTAATCACTGTAGATAGGACTGCTCGACAGTCAATCGAAGTCAAGCTTGACGATCGAAAGGGATCTTTAAAAATTATTACATCCTGAAGGTTTCATTCAAAATAAGTACAATACACTGGGTTTCTATTTCAATGGGAATCTTAAGAAAATCTAAGAAAATTAAACAAGGTATCATATCCATGATGAATTCTATTATTTTATCGTTCTCGTCAACGATGACTATGCCCACCATTTTGAAAAGTCACCGAAGTGAGACGTGACGTCACATTGGCACGAGAACTGAACCACCAAATTCCTTGGAGACACTCCCTCGTTCCTGGTATAAAGGACCTTAAGATCCGAGGACGGGGACGCTGAGAAAACGTCGCTGAAAAAGTGAATTCGCGTTCTTTCAATCTTCATCGCGATTACTCCAAGTCACTAACTTTGTCAAATGTAGGCGAACCCTCCTAAAATTGAATTCCTAAGAACCATATCCAACTTCAGAAAGGGGGAGGAAATTTCGTCGTCGCTTGTGTACTTCCTCTGTACATCCTGAAATTAGGCATTTTCACACCGTAGTCGTGCAGTGACGGCAAAGAAATGTACAAAAAAGCGTGAGCACGAGCAAAATTGTTGTTTTGCTAATTAAACATAATTATTGCTTTTGTGGCGTTCACGTTGCCGTCGCCGTCGTTGGATCTTAAGGTACCTAAAAAAATATATAAGGCTGTACGGCGGGTAAAGCTATTCGTAGCAACCTCTCAGGTGTGCGTCCCTGATTCCGGTATCCTATCAATTTTGAACTCAGTTAGGCCCCGTCCACATTAATGCGTCATTAGGGCCATTTATACGAGGAAAAATAAGACGCGTCTTACATAAGACGCGTCTTAAATACGACGCGAACTGTACCATTTATACGAGCATGTCTTATCTAAGACAAGAACAGCCCGTATAAATGGTTCGCGTCTTATTTCTGTTCTTGACTCGTTTTCATGTGAGTGTTGCCCGTAGCAACGGCAACCAACAAGGCGCAAAAATTTTCCCGCCAAAAATTAACGCATGCGTACCATGCATTCGAGTCTTATGTAAGACGCGAAGGTCATTTATACGAAGTTTTCCTCGTCTTAGCTAAGTCGCGTCTTATTTTAGACAAACTGTGCCGTTTACACAGAAAGTTCGCGTCTTATTTAAGACGCGTCCTATGTAAGACGCGTCTTATTTTTCCTCGCAAAAATGGCCCTATTGTTTGAAAAGGCATACATTTGGATGCGTTCAGGCCTTCCTTCCACACTAATAAGCTGAGCGTTTTCACGGAAAACGTAACCATTTAAAAACGCTCTTGAAAGTGAATCAAAACGAAAACGCATACATATCGTATTAGTGTGGACGGTCAAAAAGGGTCGAAAACGCATCAAAGTGCATGAAAACAATGATCGAATATATCACAGGCGCGCGTGCCTGTAGCATGCGCAAAGAGTCCAACTTACGTCACAACGTGCAATTCTATCGCTTTCGAACGTTCTAGTTTTAGAAAGTCCAAAGCGCATCAAAATGGTAGCGTGGACGCGAATTGATCGATCGATGCGTTTTCGATGATAACGAACACCATTATTATGGATAGCGCCTTAGTATGCTTGGGTGAGGACAACGTAATCGATATATTTCCAGTAAAGCTAAATTGAAACAATTCATAGATTTGCTTTTCCACAAAGGATTTTATTTGTTCAAGATTAACGTGGTTAGTGGTGCCATTCAAAAGGGTATTTAATGATTTCAGCGGGCCCAACCTGAACCAGCCATTTCTTCTTCTTCGTAAGGCAAGCATTTTTTAATGGCTTTCATACACTCCCCGAATTCGCGACCCTTCGGTTGTTTGCGGCATGGGCGAAATGCGTCTTTGACGCATTTAATCTAAAAAAAAAAAGGAAAAAAATCTTTTTACAACATACTCATCACAGAATTTCAAATCAACAGAAGGTATAATGCTGTCGTATTTGATCTTTTTTATGCTCAACTCAAGGGGCACCCTGCCTACAAAATCTTTCTTTGGCTTGCTTGATTGGTGTACTCGATAAAGACTCTGCCTGAATCGGATTTGATCTTTGCTGAGCATGCGCTGCATGTTGCTAGGATACATTTCCGAACCCAGGCCTAATAGCCGCGCGCTTGGTTCAACGGGCTCAGTTATGACCATCGGTTTATCAATAAACGAATGCTTGCACTCGTAAAACCAGTTTGAAAGAACCGTTTGAAAGAACAAGATTGATTAGTCAAGACGTTTGGGCTGCGGCGACCTCAAAAGGCTTGACGCGATTCAGGCAAAGGCCCCTTTTCGCTTTTCTTCTCCTCTTCAAAGTAGACAGAAGGACACTCTGCTCGCAGGGTATTCAAGGGACTACTTTGAAACTAAATGACTAAGGCCAAGCAAATGGTCAGATCCCTATCTCTTTCTCGAATTAAAGTGGTCCTTATAATGCTTTGTAGTGTATTCAACAATCATTCCACGAGTGCGCGTTGGATATGAGTTGGCTATAATAATAAATAATAATAACTTTATTTCTATAGCGCTCTAATCCTATGTTCCTATGATTATTTCATATCCAACAAGCACGAGTGGAATAATTGTTTTATTAAAAACGCCCAAAAACCAACCGATTCTCATCTTGTTTTCAATTTTGAGCAGACGCGTGCAGTAACCATATTTGGAGAGCGTGATATAGTGGCTCATGTACCATGATGGCTAACCCAATCAGAGCTCTAGAATAGCATTATCTAATGATTCGGTTTTTAATAAAAATACATATATATCAAACCCGGGGGTACTCCCTATAGTAATCGGGGTGGCTCCGCCAGAAGGGGGTTCCTTTTTTCAGGCTCTAGGTATATGAATGGGTAGAGGTTTCACTTGTTAAGATATATGATAGGGTAAAGAAATCTGTTATTTACTCTGTATTGGTGTGAAATGAGTCAAAAGGGTTAACAAAGGGGGTAGGGGTTTCACTAGTTGAAAGATACGATAGGGTAAAGAAATTGTTATTTACTCAGTTTTGGTGCAAAAGGATTCAAAGGGCTAATAAATGCATTTTATTGCCGTGTAGAAGTCAAGAAAACTTCGTGGTTTCGTGGTTTATTCATATTTAAGAGACAGTGCATTTACAGCTGTAAAAATCGATGCAATTTTCTAAACTAGGAATGTTAAAGGGGTACCATTTATCAAAAGAGGGCACATTAAGGAGGCTAAGGGGTTGGACCTCCAGGCGGAGCCTCCCCGTATAAAACTTCGTTGAGTGCCCCCGCCCCCCTCGGGGATATCCTTCACTATCACTGAAAGCCGCCATGTCCTGCTATCTGTTTTCTTTTTTTTCAGAAGCCATTTCACTCTTAAGAAACATAAGTGGTAATCGGACGACCAAGAGCTGAGAAAATTTGTTTTTTCAGTCCATCGCAGGATCGCATAGAAGGATCTAAGTTAAGATTATTAAGTTTACGAGAAAATGACCTGCCACGGCCAAGAAGGGTGGAAAAGGTATGCTGTAACAGAGTTTTAACCGAGAAAGCGTTTTGTCCCATGCAGTTAAGAACTGATTCTTGCACATCCGCCCCTACTATGCAATCATCTGATCTGTGATAAATCAAAATGATTTCCTGATTCATTTCAGGATCAAAATTTGAATTCTCATTTGTTGACCCATTCATCTCCTACAGAAGTAGTGGAGAGAAGTTGATAAAATATCAAGCAAATTCATCTTGTGTGATCATGTCCGTAATTCTCATGAGCACTCTGTTTTACAAACATTGATATTGTAAGGAGAAATTTGATGCTGATCACTCTTAGGGCTTAAAGTAGCAGGGGCAACTAAAGATGGTTTCCTCCGAAAGACATTGAAAACTCTTTTTAGGCTATCCAGAGTAGTTTTAGATCTCTAGAAATGCATCCTAAGCGGCGCTGTAAAATTTGTATCTGTTCGATCATTCAAGGATAACTTAAGTCTTTTCGAAATTACAAGGGCTTCAGTATTATTTTCCCGAGAGTTTTAGATGCAATTGAACGTTTTACGAAAGTGAGAATTGCTCTTTAGTATTCATCTATCCATCTTATTTTTGAATCCGAAAAGTTTAGATTTCCATTTTGTACGAAAATAAGCCTAAGATGGAGAGTAAAATGTGAAAAATTAAACCTCAGAAAATCTTAGGGAATTTATCAGATAAGCTTCGAAAATTTTTCCTTGAACAGAACGGTCATCTAGAAATTTCTAGCCGTCCTCAAGCAATGGAAAATCATGGGCAAGTTTGATTCTCCGAACAGATAATTCAAAGAAAACACTCGTTGGGTACTCCTGAAATAGACACGATACATGCTTTGGGTTAACCCGCCAGAAGTCACGCCATTGATAAATCAATTAGAAACTGCAGTGCATGCATGCTTATAGCCGGAACTTACAATTTGCTTCCTTTTCATTGCGGGAAGGTGTTGGAGCATCATTCCCAATTCCTTTATACAACGTGGCTTGGCTCTCCCGTGATGTTTAGAAACGCAAGAAGTAAATTCCTTAATAACAACCTACAAGAAAAAAGGAAACAAAATTGATAAGAATATTGATACATCGTACCATTCCCGGAACCTGAGGTCTTTTAGTTGTTAAAAGAACTAAAATAAGATGATAAGTAATCATCAGCGCATCAGCGGATGAAAAAAGAGTAATTGAAAGTATGGTAATTGAAATGTAAGTCCATAAACTGTATTGTTATTTAATATCCTCCTTACTTTACCAGTGGCTACAGAACCAGCTACCCGCTAGTAAAAACTTAGCTTTTAAGATCCTGTCAAAATAAAATTTTGCTATTAGACCTTCCATTTACAACAACCCGTTTAGCCTTAAATTGGAAAACGATTCCTATTTTCCAAAATCTATTTTAAATAACGCCTTCTCTGAAAGAGGACATCAAAATTCAAGGGATCAATGCTTTAACTTTTTTATTATAGTCGTCCTTACATAAATACTTTATTTGCCGCAAGTATAGCAGTCAAATAATAGCACGCAGATTTCAAATCAATCAATTTCAAAACGTATGTGTAAGGATAGGTTGAATGGCACTAAATTCTTTTAACCATAATGTAATTTTATTTTTCAGAAAAAAAAAAAGATTCCTTATTTGCCTAAATTTGTGCTAATTACCACCAATTCTGAGAGCGTGTTTTTAGGCTAACTCTGGAAAATGAAGCCTCTTTTACTCGCGGGGAAACCCGGTGAATAACTGTTTCGACTTTACTCAATTTCGTCCACAGGGTCTTCTCGTTTTTTAAGACCCTGAGAAGACCCTGGGAACGAGGTTGGGCTTAACTTTTCAAAAAGTGCCATCAATAGAGAGGAGAAGTCCTTACGTCACGTTGCCATGGTAGCAAAATTTTTGGATGACAACAAACCGTTAAAGTCACTTATTCTATTCGCACTATTTCAAACTTCATCGATCTTATTCAATTTCATTTAATTTGGCAAATCTTGCCGAAATTTCTTTGGGACCGTATCTATCGTTAGCTAAGTTTAGAAAAAGAAAGACACAATTTCATGATTTTTGTGTTGTATTCACCTACTCCATGAAGTGGGCATGTGAAATTAGGAAGTTTCATGTTGTAGTGGTGCAACGATGGCAAGGAAATGTACAAAATAGCGTGATTCACGATCAAAGTTGTTGTTTGTTGACGTATTATTTTTTGCCGTTCTCCTTGCGGTCGCTAGACTATGACCAGTCTCTCTTGTTTCTTTGTCCGTCGAGCAAAACGCCCGAGACACGCAAATGACCAGGCACTCCTCTCATTAAAGCTGCAGAAAAAGAGAGGTTGATCGCAGTCTACGCCGTCGCCGTCGCCCTCGTCGTTGGTTTTCTTGTCATCCAGAAATAGTGCTACCGTGGTAACGTGGCATCACACTTCTCCTCTCTATAAAACATGAACTAGTCTGTGTCGCCTGCGTGTTGCGGTGGCACTCCCCGGCCCCCGAAGAAGGGGCGACGTTTACATTTTTCTCGGGTAGGGTGTAACTGCGCATTATATGGCCAAACTACGGTGATTCATTATATTAACTATTCTACCACGGGTACGTTACGTGAAAGTGTCGAGGTTATTTAAGTTCATGGATGGGAGTTAAACACAGGATTGTACTACCTAAGGATGCAATCAACTCAACAAGAGTTACTAGACTTTCTAAAAGTCCTTAATTTTTTTTCCCGGCTGGTTATGCCATTCGTCGCTCGCTGCGCGATCTCATGCACTGAAGCTCGCTTCGCTCACTATTAAGAATTTATGAGAGGTCGACTTGTAGCAAGTCTACATAAGCTACGTCGCGCGTGCTCATCATTACGCGCGAGCGAAGATCCTTGCGCTGCGGCGCGCGTTCAGTTCTCGCCTAACCAAACATATCAATATCGACACCCAAAAGCGGCAGTGTGAAGTTGCACCTTTCTCTGACAAGGTCTGCTTGAAAAAAAATTATCGATTTTTTTGGATACATATTCGATTAGAAAAAATTGACTGATGTAGGATGTAGGACAGAGTTTTCTGAAAGTGTGACAAAAGATTGCCTTTGAAATACAAGTAGGTAGGGTGTTGATTACTTAAGTATTAAAAAGATACCCTGAATCCATAACTATCCATTTTGTAATTCCATCTGATCTTTTTCTAAAGAGTTGTCAAATTCTTAGAAAAAGAAATTCTTTTAGCAGTTGTTTCGAGTATTTTTGATATGCTGAAAGAATGAAAAATGCTAAATTTACAAATATGTATCCATGGTTTTAATCTGTGAACTGAATATATCCATGACTAACGTGTCCGACCATGCAAGTCATGAAAACTAGGAATATATTCCCAATCATTTTTTTTCTATAAGGTGTACAGGCTGGTGCTCTTAAGTTTTTGCGGCGCGTGTTCGATCAATATATATTTTAAATAATGATCATTCATGTTGCTGTTCGTTATCATTAATATTACGCAAAGTTCGAGTGTTTAATTTTCTGTGAAATCGCATGAATACTTTACATTTGTGTGTTTTCTAAGCAAAGCACACCTGTTTTCAAGTCTAGTTTATTATGACTTATTCAGGCCTTTCCTTTTTAAAACTTTTGTCGACAGTAGCTTGCTGCTTGCTGTTTAATTTACTATTTTAACAGGGGCACCCAACGAGAATATAGTTCAAAACCACTTAAACATTGCATTGTCGAACGTATTTTAGTATTTAAACAGCAGATATAGGCATTTTTTACCCTCTAAAAATTTTTCATCTGTTCGGATTTCTAGCTGAAAGTCTAGTGATACGAAAATTATAGGGATCAAAACTTACCTGTTCGAAAATTTCAGCGAGATAAAAGGCTCCCGAAAATTCTAGGTGACCTTTTTACGGTAAAAACCCGTTAAAAATGGGCAATTATACCATTTTTTAGATGTTCGAAAATCCTAGGAGAGGCAGGCAAGCAAGAAATTTTACAACAAGTGCTCCGAAAATTCCAGACCTCAGATCGTCTTCCGAACAGATATTTTCCAAAAACTGACGTTGGGTGTCCCTGTTTTAATGGGTGCTGGGGAGTTAGTATAATTCTGATAAGAATTATACCTTTTTTTCTTGACTGTTATTTCAACACGTCTAAATGAAAGCCAGGCTTAAATTTAAACTCTCTACGAATAAGAAGACTAAGCACCTACCTCCATATTTATGGGTTTGCTCATGTCCGGTCCCATGTTATCGAAGTCCAAATCCGCGAGCTCAAAGAGCTCCTTTTCGGGATTCTTGGATTCTGCGATAACAGCCACGAAAAAAAGAGCGCAGAGGCAAACAACCTGGAAAAATGTCATCGTCTCGGACGACACTAAAGAGAGCAACTGTTTCTTGGCGAGGAAATTCGTCGAACCAAAGTAGCAGAAAGACTTTGCCACGGTGCAGTTAAATTTTTGAAAGCAAAGATTGTAAATGAGAAGATTACAAATTGTTCAAACTAGTTAATATTCTGATTACTCAGCTGGTTTCAAATGAGTTCTATCATATAAATGACCTTATTAAGTCCCACGGAAAATATGTTTGGGAGCGACTATTTATATTTTTAAGATATACATATGTACAGGCCAAGTCAAGTCAAGTTCTGAATTCAATATCATTCAATTCACTTTACAGAAAAGTTGAGATATTAGGTTTTTATTTCATTCATTCAAATAATTTATCCGTTTCTGACTGGCTTTATTACCAAGTCAAGTGTTCATAACCAGCTGGTGCTGATCAAATTTGGGAGGTGCTTTGATTATACGTCAGTCACTGAAACGTCAATAGGGAGTTTAAGCAACGATGTTTTTGAGCGACGCACGTCAGTCGGACGTGGACTTTTTGTACTCTTCGGTCGTGATTTTGAAATAAATTCCTGAACAAATTGTCTCTTTAAGAGTAAAGACATTCAGCAATACAAATTTGGTAGCGTGAAGACCGTATTAAAGGAGAAAAAGGCGCACCAAGGTTTGACTTTATTGTGCAAATTGTTGCGAGGGAGCGCTGCGAGGGAAATGGGTCTACATTTGTTCCCCGAAACAGTCTCATTGGACAATTTGACACAACTGAGAGCCAGTCTTACGCAACTGAGACGGTTAGCATTATATAAGATCGGGTGAAGCCAGTTTGGACACCTTATGAAGTTTACACAACGCATTATTCTCTTAACGTAACGAGACTCGAACCTTGTAGAATTGCTAAAAAACAAACAAACAAACAAACAAAACTGCACAGCGCCAGTTATGGAGAGAGCATACTAGAGGGTTAAGCACTGATCTGTATTGATTAGGGTTAAGCAGCGAACCGCGACGGTTAGCTTTCAAGTATTGCAATGTGATATATGGCATACGTACATGTATATTTTAAAAATTTCGGGATTTGACAGCTAGTCCTCGATAGTGTAGTGGATGTGGATGTGTAGGTTATGAAGCATTAGCCTTAGCTTCAGTCTTTCACAACTTGCGTTAAACAGATTTTTCTTTCTTGCTTTTGACTTTATTATACATATTCTTTCTTTTCTTTTCTTTTTGCTTTTCTTTTATTATCAGGTAATATCTGTTTTGTAGTAGTGTTAATATCATAGGTGACGAATTACTCCTTAATTTTGGTGCAAAATTTCAGCGATAATTTGTTAATTTCACATGTGAAATTACAAAATTGCCATGGCAACCTTCCGTACGTCTCAGTGTCAAGATGGCGACGAAGTTTGAAATTTCATGAATGAAGATGCTAGGGCATAAAAAGACGCTTTAGAAAACCTGACCACACGAAAGAGCACATCAAGAAGGATTCTAACAAGTATTTTGTCGAAAAATTCTGAACTTAAGCCAAATTTAAGCTCTAAACGTTCGAGAGAGTGGAGTTCTCGATCGATATCATCCCGGATAAACATGTCAGAAATCCAAGACTGCTGAGGTAATTCGTCACCCATGATCTTAATAGTTAATCAAATGGTATACTCCGGAAATTAGGGAATATTTTCACTTACGTTTTGTCCAAATCCCAATAATCTCCCTCACTTAAAGGCTCGGGAAATTATAAGGATTTGGACAAAACGCGCGTGAAATTATTGCTCTAGTTTCACTTGTCACCATTTGATTACACATACACTAATTTGGCACGCCTCGACAGGCGCTTTTGGCTAACTGCGTGCCAAGAAATTGTACACAATATCATGATAATAAATTGGCTTGTCTTGTCATGTCTTAAAGAAAATGACTCCAGTTCAAATCATTCCAGTTCTGTTTATCTATCTTATTTTATTGTTGGAATTAAGTTGTTCTTCATGTAATTTTAGTGAAAGAAACAATTTGGTGTCAGCCGATGTTACCTAATACAAACCATGCCCCACCCAAATTATGAGGTAAATACCTGAAGGAAGAATAAGTGCTCTTACCATAATGTAAGCGCCAGGAATGTTTTCCGTTACCTTTATAGTATTTTTATGTTCGCCGCGTTTTTAGTTATTTTCGTGTTCTCGCCTTTAGTGCTGTTTTTTGGTTCATTAGTTTTTCATTATCCGCGTAGCTTTGTCCTTCGTGTTATGTTTTTCTGCATATCGTATATTAAGCTTTTATTGTAATTTTCGCGTCAGTTCTTCGTTAGTTGCGCTTGGTCCAGTTTACAGTTTAATGTTTGGGTCTCTGCTCGTCCTAGTATTTCTTCCTTATCTCGCTATCGTCTTGTAAGTATCTCTTTTGTTTCATTCGCATTTCTTTGCCTTATTGCTTTCGTTCAGTTTGTAGGTTGTTTTATCTTGACTTTGTATTTGTTTAATTGTTATTTTTCAGTACCGCTCTTCTTCACATCGGTTCACTTGGCCCTTCACTAGTTGTAGAAGTTCTAGAATAAAGTTTGTGTGTTATAGTCCAGCTGTTATCGACCAAAAATATAGCGAATTGTTCACTTTTATGATAAAAGCATGAAACTTTGCCAGATTACAACCAACCCTAAGACTAACATTTCTGGATATGGAGCCAAGCCAAATTCAACACTGGACACGAGTACTGCGCAGGCCCTAAAATGGCCTACATGAAAACGAGGCTGACAGTGGAAATGCTTCTAAAATACCAGTTTTTCAGTGTTTTGGTAAATAAAACTTGTAGATATCGTGGAAGAAGACATTTGCTTTGCTGTCATGTTATCTTTGGTGTCACGTGACCCTTTCTTCCATATATGGCGAAGCCGTTGTTGGGTGTCCTGTGCTGGGCTGTCTTCTGTGCATTTGTGAGTTTTAAAGGGTGAGAATGGGCACCGATTCACACAATTTTTAATGATAACACTCTTGCAACTTTTTTCCAATTGTCAAGGGTGGGATTTGTTTTCATACAGATGTCAATTACCACATGAAAATAAGGCAAGAATCTTTTAAACTGTTTGAAAAGCCGTCAGTTAGCACTGCGTGCGGTCATTTGGGGGTGGATTCAGATAACATTGCATAAAAGCTTGCACTGATCAAAAATTGTGATTGTATGGCACTCTGGCTGTTGTTTTCCATCTAAATGTAGAGCGCCGCTCAAAAACAAGGCAAAAATTCTTTTGATGATCTTAAAAGCTAGCCTTGAGTTTCTTGCCTCCATGTTCGGATACTGCATTAAGCTATTAATATTCAAATGAACGAATGAATCGCTCAGGGAATTCTCCTTTCATTATTAACAAAGTCAGTTACAAGGTTTAGTGCTGAATCCAGGAGGTGGCCCAGCCCAAATAGCTCTCCTCCCTTAATTTTGAAGAAATGCCAATTTGATCCTTTCAAGTTGAAATTAATATTACCAGTTGTTGCTTACATTAAATGCATGAGATAGAACAGTCTTTGAGGTAAAAATGAACAGGTCATGCAGAAGCAAGCGATCGTGCCTCCCCATATCTCTGTTATGCCTAAAAAACAGATGACAGGATAGTCTTGTAAAGACCATTTTTGAGATACGCAATTTAAAGCTACCAAATTGATATTCCTTTAAATTTTATATTAACACATGAAAATATGAAAAAGATGATCAATCCGAATGTAATAAAAAAGGCCGTGTTTCTCCTCGTTAAGGACAAGAAATCAAGCCTTTCAAACTCAGCTCGCCAACAGAATGTCGAGCGCTTTCACAAAGAAAGCAAAGTTGTTGCTACGTATGTCCTCAAGGCAGAGTATATTTAAAGTGCATGCTTATCCCTTATAATTGAACACCAACTGAGCTACTTGAGATAGATGAAGGAATTAGCTTAACTTTACTCATATTTCTAACGGTAATCTTTAATAATAATAATGATAATAATAATAATAATAATACTTATATGGCGCCGATATCAATACTGCTATTTGCATCAGCGCTTAATTAAAAATAATAATATTTCAAAAAAAAAATTACTAAGTCTGCATAAAGTATACATGCATAAAGTGCATGAACCTACCAAGAAGAGTTAAAACAATTTTGTCAACACTAAAGCTATAAAAATTACCTAGACTACTTAATCGTAAAAAAACTGCATAAAACCTAAAAACGACATTAAAAAGCACATAAAATCACAGCTTTCTGAAATAAAAATGTCTTGAGTGCTTTTTAAAAGATGCTACTGAGGGGCTACTCCTAATCGGGTAGGGCAATGAATTCCATAGTTGAGGAGCAGCAGCAGCAAAAGATGCGGTGCTTGAAAACTTTCTCAGATAAATTACAATTTAGACACACAAGCTGTAGGCAACTACAGATGGTTAATTCATACCACTTGATTGAAAGAGAATTTTTGAATAATTGCCTCAAAATTACTATGATTTGAGCATTTCAAGTCATTGTACTAGCCGTGATGCAACATTAAGGCGGTACACTTTAGGTCCAAAGAGCGCTCGTTACCTTATAATTAGGGAAAGTTTAAAATTGAATTATCGACTTCTCGGTTAACGTTTTTCAATTTAAGAAAGTGTACCTCATGTGAAAGGCTCATAACCAATTTTTAATGATGTACTAGTGAGCAGCACACTTACACTTCCAGTGAACAATTTCACTTGGAAAAAGGAGAAACCATGCTCGCCCGGGGCAAGAAACTTTTCGTTGCCCCGGGCGAGCATGGAAAAATGTTATATTTTTTTACTAATGTCAACGTTTTGTACATCGATCCAGCCACAGAGAAGTTGACCTTTTATGCGACAAAAAGTTCCAAATCAAAGGAAAATAGCCAAACTTCCCACCAATAGAGCTGGTTTCTATCGCTAATGTTAATTAAACCCACAAGTGAGTTTTCATGAGTTTTCTACTACAGACATCAAAGAGGAGTTAAAAGAGTGTATCCTCAACAGACCAGTTAATCAGAAACCAATAAAAATGGAAACTGCTGAAAAAATTAAAATGCTAAGGATTTGCAGTGGGTAGGAAGAGATTCGTATGGGGTTTTGTGACTTGGGAGGCTTTATTATCCCACTCAACCCTAAGATCATCGTTCTCAAAGCAGCCGAATATACAGCATGTTTATCTAATCCACGAGCCACTTATTTCGGTAGACAGGCTGCTTGGGGTATTTGGCGCCATGTGTAATGACAAAGATTAGTTTCAGCTCATACTCCGCGAGCTTCATATTGTTCAAAATGCTCAGCAGGCAGTTTACCAGTACCAGATGAACAGCAGCTCAGTAACAGAACTGAGTGGAAAAGAAGGGTGTGGCTCATTCATTGCTTATATAACCACAAGTCATCTTATTCAAAATGACGGTAGATGCACCAAGTAACGAATCTGTGTATCCATTTATGTGGAAACAAAACAGAAACACTCTCATTTATGTGCAAACAAAACAGAAACACCCTCCCTAATCCTAAGAAAATTTATTCCGCATACTTTAAAACTGTGCGCACAAATCCCACCAAACATAAGTTAACGCACTTGCGTCTTGTTTGCATAAACTGAAGCAGACCGACAATTACTTCGTGGTCGAGACATTTCATATTAGTTTGAGTGATCATCAACAGTTAAATCAGAAATCATTCCACCAATGAGGCGATGCTAGTTATTTTAGTTATCCATGTATAGTATGGACGCCAAAGAAAATGATGTCAGTGTCACGTGGGCGTTGAGTCCTGATCATGTCGGACAGACATTTTTTAACTTGCGTTTGCGTTAGCCTGCGAGCAAGCTCTTTCAACTAACACGCCTCCCTCTTGCGTCTCCTTTTGAGTGCAGTTTGCACGTGACGTTTCACGATAACCCCTGATAGACAGCTAGAACGTAGGCTGCACTTATTTTTTCCTGGTTGACAAGCGTTAAGTGCAAACAAAAGCGTTTGGGGAAATAGTAAGTTCAATTGTTTTTTTCGTCTTGCACTTGCGTTTGTTTGTCCAGCCCTCATTATCTTCAATAAAACAGGCTAGAAGTGAAAAAGAAGATGAAGTGACCTTCATAGTGTTTCCTCAACTCGAGTAATGCTCATGCAACATAGCTGTCGAGCAGTGTATGAATAGGATATGTATAGGGAACAACACTTCTGAGGCAAACAAGTCTAAAAGTTTTAATTTTGACTAAAGGGCATATCGTGGCAGTTTGTGGCTATGAACTCATTAAATGAAAGAAAAACTGCTTCTTTGGGACTGTGTCGATTCACCATTGGCAAAACTGGTGTACAACCTACTCTTAAGATACAGTGACATCTACAACTATCTTGTGGATACAACCATCAGAAAGGGGGATTGTCGATTGTCGCCTGTGGAGAAAAAAACTCTGCAAAAACGCCGTGCAATCACAATTTTTGATCCGTTCAGGCTTTTAGGCGATGCTCTATGAATCTAACTCAAGATGACTGCACGCAGGGCTAACTGGAGGCTTTTCAAACCGCTGAAAAGATTTTTGCCTCGTTTTCATGTAATGATTTGCATTTGTATGATAGAAAACAGCCGTTGATAATTGGAAAATAGTTGCAAGAGTGTTATCATTTAAACTTGCCTGAAAAGGTGCCCCTTCTCACCCCTTTAAACGCACAAATGTACAGAAGACAGCTTCAGCACAGGACACCCAACAATAGCCTTGCCATATTTGGAAGGAGGGGTCATGTGACACCAAGGAAAGCACGACAGCAAAGCAAATGTCTTCTTCCACAATATCTACGACTTTTATTTAAAGAAACACTCAAAAACTGTATTTTAGAAGGATTTCCACTAACAGCCTCGTTTTCATGTAGGCCATTTTAGGGCCTGCGCAGTACTCGTGTCCAGTGTTGAATTTGGCTTGGCTCCATATCCAAAAATGTTAGTCTTAGGGTTAGTTGTAATCTGGCAAAGTTTCATGCTTTTATCATAAAAGTGAACAATTTTGGTCGATAACAGCTGGACTATTAAAAACTATAGCGCGTTAAGGCTGCGACTATACGTACATAATGACAAAGCAACGTTTTCTTTGAACAACGGAAGCAGAAACAACCTATTTTTACTTAATACTAAATTATAAAGAATGCGAAGGCGTTAAGACGGGATAAAATTGCCTTGGGGGACTGGGTCTAGTTGAAAAATCGTTTATTTTCTAAAACAGTGGAAAAATTCAAAAAAAGGACAAGCACAGTTTTGTAGATGCTTGCATTACACATTATCAACCAGTTCGGTTTAATAACTCACTACAAAAAGTGTTTCCATTTTTGTTTAAATGAGATTTATTTCTGAAATAAATGGTTTTATGCTGAATGTGACTGATCATTATTGTCTTTCTCCAGCTACCAGCAAAGGAGGGTTTCCTGTCACCCGGGTGATTTGTCACGAAAGTGTCATTTATGTCACGGGTCATGTAAGTCACAGAAGTGAGGCACAAGGCCTCCTTCCTCGCATTACAAGACAGTGAGAAACATTTTTCCCTCCCTTCGCTCCCGTGAGCTTTATTTTACCCTAGGGAGTGGCGGATGTGCCCTCACCTTTCCTGGGATAATGTTCTTGTGTATCGGGGTTTCCCAGCGTTATATGCCAAAATATCCCATAATGGGTTGGTGATTATTTTGTGTCCCAGCGAACAGAGCTCACCCAAAGCAAGACTCTGCCAACATCAATAACTTTCGTAATATGTAAAGGAACATGAAGCATAAAGACTTTTTATTGTTTTCTGGCTGTGTAGAGACGCATGACAACATTTTCATAATTGAAAAACACCAAATTGACAGAAACCACACATATATGTATCTAACAAAGTCTCATCTTTCTAATGCTTAAGTGCTCAGAGATAGACCAACCCCCATTACCTTTTGACTGAATAATCGGGGACGCATGCCTTAACTTACCTGAGTAGACAGGTTTGGATCTAAATGAGTTCTGCTCGCAAGAAAAGTGCTTTTAATACATCCTGATACATCAACTTTTAGCGAGAAAACGAGGTGAAATTTCGGTAGCAATAGCTACGATTCGATAGTTGCTCTCTCTGTGTTGCTCCAATAACCAAAATCAGTATAGCAAGGCAGTGCTTTATCTGAAAGTGGAAGACACATGCAGTCAAGTTATATGACAAAGAGGGAGCTTAAGGAAAGACTATTGTGAGCTACGCACGTCAATCAGAGGTGGTTCTTTTTTTTATTCTTGGGTAGTAGTTTGCCCAGATTTTCAAAATCTGGGCACGTCGTCTCTTAAGAGTAAGGACAGCTAGCAACAGAAATTCCGCCGACTTTTACCAGTGCGTATATATTTTAGACTCTAAAACAACGGTAAATCTTGTAAAATAAACTAGTTATGAAAGACTTGTTGAATTAACCACGCCCCATTCTTAATTTGCAACCACGTAAGAAGGAAACCATGTTGGTTAACAAAACAGTACACTTTTTTAAGCATAATTTGCATAGACAGGAAAAAAGAGATTTCAATCCCCAGAAGAGTTCTTGTTTATCAGCTACGAACCAGTAATACTTGTTCCAAAGGCTGCCTAGTCTGTAGGCCTCATTATTGCGCGCGGCAGATGTGACCCGACTCGAATGCATCACCGAAATTTCAGTGTCCAAGGAAAATGCCGCACAGAGACCCGGCAATTCCTAAACTGTAGAGTTTAGTACGTGGTGTATGATTGAGCATCGCCAACAAAAAAAAGACACTTTACCATGATGGGTATATTTATAAGTTTTATTATATCTTGGTTTAACCTTTTTTCCCCCACTAATTGTTATCAGTGACTCATAGTCATTACAATGAACTTGCTTTTGTTCCGAAGATAAATTCTCTAAGCGTTGGTCACTTTGTTTACTTTCTTTCCTTGTTGAGACTCCTGTTGAAGTAGTTAAAATAATAAAAGATATTCCGTTAGAGGAAGGCTTATACCACGTGTATATTAAATCGTGTTTTCGAATTATCGAAAAAGAAACTCACTCTCCTCTGAATTTTAAACAATACGTAAAAAAAATGCTCTATGTTATTTTAAGTTAAATCTTGCTGACTTGCTCTAGCCCGTAATTATGATTTGTTTTTGGTTAACTTTTCTTTGTTGTTGTTGTTATTGATTTTTCTGTACTAGAGATCGACTTTTAGATTCGAGACCTACACTTTAGGACGACTACGAGACAAGATTAAACTTAATGTTTTCGCGTATTCTCAAAATACACCGCGAAAGCTTCATGATACTTTTTTTTACCAGAAAAGTTAGCCCGTTCATTTTTTTCTGAAGCAGTTTAAGCCTTCTTCCGACGACAAAATGATAACTTGTTTCTGCCACTACGATAATCTCGCTTCACAATAACTCGTACCAAGAGACGATGGTTGTCGAGTTTTCGGGCGAAAGATGACGCTGGTTCACACGCGCGCACTACTTGCTTTTGAGAAAATCTGGTCCTCGTAATCATTCTTGAGTCAACCATTTGACTTGGGGCGGGGGGCGGTTGTGGGGATATGGGTGATTTCAGAAAAAAATATCGTGAAGACTGATTTGGAGGGAAAAATTCTTGCAAGGAAATACGTGGCGAAAAAAATTCCTACACTGAAAAAATTGGCGTATAATGACGGAAAAAAATTCTTACGCCGTTGTATGTCAGGAAAATTCACCATAGGTTTGGGAAAAAAATTCTTACACAAACAAAATCACCCATACACCCCTCTTTACAGTCTCCAGGAAAGTAAAAACTTGGGTGGAAAAAATATCGGGAAGACTGATTTCGCGTATAATTCCAGAAAAAACATTTAACACCTTTGTAAGTCAGGAGAAATGTTTTTTCACCATAGGTTTGGGAAAAAAATTCTTACACAAACAAATCACCCATACACCCCTCAAAAGTCAAATGGTCGGCTAATTAGAACCTAAAGGTCTGTAATAATTTTAGTAATGCATTTGACTTGGTCTAGACGACGCGTTTTACTACTTAGACCAGAAGTCATTTCGTTTTACCTTTCATATTTAAATTTGGTAGTCCCAGTGAGGTTTAAATAACAAAAGCCTTAATTTGCACAAGAAAGCAATACCCTGAAGGATTCTGGTCGGAATAGTAAAATGGCGCCATCGTGCAAATGGCCTATTAAATGGTCAAAGTTTTGAATGAGGATATGATCGTCGCAGTGGTAATTGCAATTTAACTTCTCAATCAAAGTTTTAAGAAAAAAAAAACGCCCGAGGTAGATCTGCAAAGGGGCTAGCATTAATCATTTGTACTATATTTATTCTCCTGTAGTGGCAGGAATTTGTTTTTTGCAGTTATGCATTTGAGCACAAGGAGACTTGTTACGGGCCTTGTTTGACAAGCAAACCTTGCCTGACAACTTTAAGATGGGCCTAACATGGGAAAGTTATTCATACCAGTTTGACAGCAATACGTTTGCGTCTTCTTTTCTCAGCAGTTACATCGCCAAAATAGGCTTGTACTGTATTTTTGTTGCACTCAAGAGGATTGCTTTTACAAAACAGAGGAAGTACTGGGCCATTGTTCATGAGATTCAGGAAATTGTCCTTTACTGATGCCGCTTTGTTGGTATCTTTACAGTCTCCAGGAAAGTAGAAAAATGGAAAATTTCTCAGCCATAAATTGCTCGGGTTCACCGTCTCTGTTGAGAACAATTTATATTTTGGTCTAATATTTTAATAACAAATAATAACTACCGTACACTTTACTCAAGAGATAAGACAACTTGCTTGGGACTGTCTCCTGAAGGATGATGACGTGTTCGAGTACAATCAGTTGTCCACTCGAAAGGGGAGACTCTTGAGGTTAACCCTATGTAAGTGACCGAATCTGAAAACTGAAAAAAGTTCTTTACATATCATAGTCGTAACTCCATGCTTACAATCATGGTAATTGATATTTACAGCATAAAAATCCTCAATCTCAGTGTTGCGAAATATACGACTTTTTTAGGCAGGTTATTCCAAACATTAACAATCCATACGCAATACTTGTAGCAATATCGGGTGAAAATTTTCACATTCAGTTTACAATCGTGATTGGCTCTTGTTTGCTACACTTAGTAGGCTCAAAAAAGTCCAAAAAAAGAAAGGCTATCTACTCCAAAAACTATCTTGTAGCACTGAACCAGAGATAAGAACTCCCTACGTTTCTCCAGAGTTTGCCAATTCAGTAAGCGGCAGCAGTCTTTATATATTACCACGCTTTTGCTTTTAAGGCAAACCGTGAGGCTCCACTTTGTACTTTTCCAAGGGTTTAATGTCCTTAAGACCCGCAGGGGACACCTATCTATGAATAAATTCATAAGGCAAAATTTTGCTTGTGGTAGTACATCTTTAAAAACGCTTATACTTCGGCTGTTTTATAAGCCCCTCTTCCAGTTGGCCCATCTTTATGTAAACAATAACAAAAAAATACATCCGATTCTAAGCCCCCTGGATAGCTTGTATGGAAACGAATTAGATTTATTAAGAAGTTTTGAAATTGAAAAAAAAAAAAGAAAAACAGAAACAAAAAAACAGTAAAAATTAAGGACGCATTTTGATCAGCATTTTTGTAGCTTGTTTCGAAGCATGTTTTTTTGTTCCGGTTAAAAGCCCCATGGAATATAAGCCCCTCCGTTATAAGCCCTCCTAAAAACCGTAACGCAAATGTGTGAGCCCAAGGCTCGTAATCAGCAGATACGGTTAGTATGTGTAATCAAATGGTGACGAGTGAAAGGCGAGGGAAAATATTAGGATGTGGACAAAACGCAAGTGAAATTATTCCCTGATTTCACGAGTATACCATTTGATTACCTATTAATATCATGGGTGAGGAATTACCTTAGCAATCTTGGATTTTTGACATGTTTATCCTGGATCGTATCGATCGAGAAGTCCACTCTCTCAAATGTTTAGACCTTAAATTTGGCTTATAAAGTTCAGAATTTTTCAGACTATTTCGGCAAAATACCTGTTAGAATCCTTCTTGATGTTCTCTTGTGTGTTCAGGTTTTCTAAAGCGTCTTTTTTTGCCCTGACATCTTCATTCACTTCACTCTAAAACTTCGTCGCCATCTTGACACTGAGACGTACGGAAGGTTGCCATGACAATTTTGTAATTTCACATGTGAAATTACAAATTAACGCTGAAATTTCGCGCCAAAATTAAGGAGTGATTCGTCACCTATGATATTAACGAGAAATTAATCGCACTTACTTTTGCAGCTTGGCCACGGTAGCTTTGGATCATAAGGACCAATTGAGAACATGAGCCAATTTCCTCCAGAGCAGTAATAAGCAAAGAGAGGAGTGAACTCAAAGTCATAGCCTTGTTTACATTGAACTTGGCAAGTCGGGTTCGATCCAATGTAGTTGCACACCAAAGCGCCATTTGTTGGTGGAGAGTACAGAGGACAGGTCCCTGAAAAATAAATAGATGCTAAGACAAGCAAATTTAAGAAGTGTCAAAACCTTTACAAAGAAAAATGGAAACATAATGTATTAGTTACACGTCCGGTCGCCTTTTTTTGTGAATTTCAATCAGTGTCATGTCAGTCGCGCGAGTAGAACGAACTCAGTTATATACATTCTTTTTTATATATAAGACCCCTTTGTATATGTAAATAAAAAATATTTATATAATTTTAAGAACATACTAAGAATATTCCCAGGTAGAGAGAATCAGTTATGAACGTCTTGTATTTTGCTTTCTTTTTTTTGCGAGTAGCATAAGTAACGGTAAAAGAAATGTAAAACTGATCTGTATTCTGACGGGACAATTTACTCATCTTTTTAAAACTCTTTTATTATTACGTGATACACTGGAGAACAACTTAGTTTGTAGTCGAACTTAATCAGTACTTAAACGTCAAAAACTTCAAAAATAAAACTTGACGAAAGAAAACTGAGCCGTTCAATTCTTTGAACAGTTCTTATTAATTATAGAAGAGCCGTTCCAAAATGAAATAAAAACATGATCAGGGCGTTATAATCACAAAAAAGGGAAGTGAATAAATGAGTTCAGCTTCAGCCCAAAATTAGACGTTCCTGTAAAAAAACNCTTGACACTGAGACGTACGGAAGGTTGCCATGACAATTTTGTAATTTCACATGTGAAATTACAAATTAACGCTGAAATTTCGCGCCAAAATTAAGGAGTGATTCGTCACCTATGATATTAACGAGAAATTAATCGCACTTACTTTTGCAGCTTGGCCACGGTAGCTTTGGATCATAAGGACCAATTGAGAACATGAGCCAATTTCCTCCAGAGCAGTAATAAGCAAAGAGAGGAGTGAACTCAAAGTCATAGCCTTGTTTACATTGAACTTGGCAAGTCGGGTTCGATCCAATGTAGTTGCACACCAAAGCGCCATTTGTTGGTGGAGAGTACAGAGGACAGGTCCCTGAAAAATAAATAGATGCTAAGACAAGCAAATTTAAGAAGTGTCAAAACCTTTACAAAGAAAAATGGAAACATAATGTATTAGTTACACGTCCGGTCGCCTTTTTTTGTGAATTTCAATCAGTGTCATGTCAGTCGCGCGAGTAGAACGAACTCAGTTATATACATTCTTTTTTATATATAAGACCCCTTTGTATATGTAAATAAAAAATATTTATATAATTTTAAGAACATACTAAGAATATTCCCAGGTAGAGAGAATCAGTTATGAACGTCTTGTATTTTGCTTTCTTTTTTTTGCGAGTAGCATAAGTAACGGTAAAAGAAATGTAAAACTGATCTGTATTCTGACGGGACAATTTACTCATCTTTTTAAAACTCTTTTATTATTACGTGATACACTGGAGAACAACTTAGTTTGTAGTCGAACTTAATCAGTACTTAAACGTCAAAAACTTCAAAAATAAAACTTGACGAAAGAAAACTGAGCCGTTCAATTCTTTGAACAGTTCTTATTAATTATAGAAGAGCCGTTCCAAAATGAAATAAAAACATGATCAGGGCGTTATAATCACAAAAAAGGGAAGTGAATAAATGAGTTCAGCTTCAGCCCAAAATTAGACGTTCCTGTAAAAAAACTTTGTATGGTAAAGGGCATGGCAGTTTGTCTGGCGCTGCCACACAATGACTCAATGAAATACTTTTGTGCTTGGATTCCATATTACGTGAGGCTTTTTTATAGGAGTCTATAAGAAACAATATATTACCTGTAATTAAAGGAGCAAACTGATCAACCACTAAAAACAGCACAACAAAACTGAGCAGAGTGGCCTTCATAGTTGTGATCACTAGTTCCGCTGCGCTCGACCAGTCCGTTTTGGTGCAACAAGTATCGAAGACTTTCCAATATATTAAAACAATGTCGCTTCTGACAGTTTGGTATATCAGAATTTAAATGAGAAATTATATTTTAACTTAAACGCTAAAGGTATTTATGCAGCTGTTTACAGCTAAAGAATATGTTAGTTGCTTCACTCAGTCCTAAAAAATGGTCAATGAAAATCATGCAGACCGAGGGAAGTAAATATTTGACTGAAAACTGCGATTGAATGACCGAGATATTTAATCTATACTGAGATCAGGAAAACGGCGTCCAGGGGTTGCGGTAAGTTTCTCTGAGCTCGCCGATCTCGACGCCGAGTACGCATGCATTTTACTGAAATCAGATTTTTATTACAGTTGAAAAATCATTGTCAGTAGATCAAATAATAAAGGACAATAGCAGCCGTGAAATTCACACGATAATTAACATTTATTCACGGAAGGCGAAGTTAATTGTACGTTCTTGCGAGAAAATCCCGAAATCACAAAACAGTGACAAAGCGGCTTGTAGTGTAAACTTAGCTTCGAGCGTACAAGAAGCCCGGCGTAGTCATTCGATAATCGTACAAAAAGCCCGGTGTAGTCATTCGATAATATCGATAATCGATAACATTCGATAACAATCGATAAAAATCGATTAATTTTTTCGAAATTCGATAAAGCTCGGTGTGAGTAATCGATAATTATCGATGTTTGAATTAGGGTTATCGATTTTATCGATAAATATCGAAACTGAATTACCGGACAATTTTCGACACGGAAACACCAAAAGATATTAAAGAGCTCGCAGAGACACTTATAACAACTTCCCTGTTCGTTCATCTTTTCAACAAACTTTTAGTAATACTCAGCGTTTGTTCTATTTGAAATCCGCTATAGATCCCTGATTGATTATTCCACTGTTTATTTATTTGCTGATGTAACACAATCTTTCACCCAGTCTTGAAAGGGAAAGATTTTCGTGATTTTTTGAGTAAAGATATGAACAAATCATCTGGACGCCCTCGGGCTCGTAATCTAAATGTTACATAAAAAGCAATAGCTTGTGATAGAGAGCAAAAACCAACGATAATAATATATATTGTCATCCCATACATGTGTTTTTACATGCAATACTACTTGAACATGAACAAAACTGTAACATTATACTTCATCGACTTTCAAATACTTCGTTTGAACCAACTAAGTTTCAATGTTCAGAACAGTTTCCACAAGCGAAACTCTTGCAGCTGCAAGAATCATTTCAATTAACAGTCTTAAAGTTGTTTTATAAATCAGTAAAACAACGTTAATGATGAACTCAGCAACAAAGTAATATAAAAAGTAAAGTGACAAGAAAAACTGCTGAATTATTGAAAGGAACTGATGATTGAAAACTCAGAAAACATCTGAATATTAAGACGCCGGGTAAGACGACAACCAGACTGGACGACAACCTTGAAGCCGAGAAGCCGAAAAAGGAAAAATAATTTACGTTTGTAATTGAAACCGGGTAATCGAACAATTTTTTTTATTATTTTATTTTTTTTTACAATTAACTACAATCTAATCTACGAAAATAATAATAATGTAAGCGAACAATAAAATCAGGAAGAAAATCATAATGCAGTCTCTTTGATCTCTTGTACAGTGCTTGTCAAAAAATCATTTCATTGCCGCCTTTGAAATCTACATTTAAAGAGTCACAATCAAACGCTCCCTCAACGGAAGCAGGTTAATTTTTATCGATTCAATAGCGATCGATGAATCCGATAAAATCGATAAAATCAACACTTCGTCGGCGTGTGAGTATCGATTTTTATCGATTGACCGATAAAGTCGATATCGTTTAAAATCAATTATTATCGATTTATCGAATGACTTTCCGATATCAATTTTTATCGAATGACTACGCCGGGAAAACGTCAGCTACAGTAAACCACTTTATAATAAATCGCGCTGTTTAAACATCATGAAGTCTTTTCTTACCTTCAAAGTCATCAACACTTGGATATTCTTGTATTTTCAAAAAGTTCTTGCTGTGAAACTTTGGCATAACACCCAGTTCACAACAACGATTTTTTTGTGGTTTATATCACCGCCTAGGTGGGGAATATCAAACAACTATCCCCCGAAGGGTAGGTGAATAGTGGTGGAGGATATGTATAACGAGACGCGAAGCTTCGAGGTACATATATAGCGCTATTCACCGACCCTGAGGGGAATAGTTGTTTTAGTATTTACCAAATCAGTTGGATAAAAACGAAAAAAGTAACTTTTTGTAAACTTTTTGTGTAACTTTTTTTAGTAGAAACTTTGTTTACAATTTACAAACATTTCGGGGATTTTGTCAAGTGCATTTTTACGACTTTTGTTGCAAATTCAGCTTGAAAATAATTTTCTACTTACCAGTAAACAAATTCATGAAATCTGACAAGCTCTTGGTACCCGCGGACAAGACTTCAAACTTTTACAAAATGGACACACAATCATATAAAGATCTACTGTAGAAAAATATTATTAAGACCTACAAGAAAGTAACCCCGGACACAGCGGATTCTATTGAGCTGAAGGCCAAAGATATTGCTAATAAACTACAGCTAGATAGCACGATAAACACTTGCCTAGTCCCTGTACGGCGTCTTTCCAGGCCCTCTCGGTCAATGCATTTCGGTGACGTATCCGAGACGAACGGCCGGGAGACGCCTAGACAATCTCGGAGTGCGTGAGCATTTTTGCATTTTTGAAAAGTTCCCACGTTCAACTGAAATAATCTATGAATAACTTTGCGCGTGAATATCCTTCGCTTAAGGTGGCTCGACTGGATTTTTTGGGGTTGATACCTTCCAACTTTGAGCATTAACTACGTCGGCATGAGTAAAGATATGGAAAAAAGGTTACCACAACTGTATTATATAAAGATGAAAATTTCTTATGATCTGGGTTTTATTGCAATCGGAGTCGCCATGGCAACGTAATGACGTAATTACGTTTTTCATGTATCTTTGTGTTTCTCTGTTCCAGGAGTTTTTTCAAGAAATCGCTTAAGGGAGTATGTACCTGCTATAATTGCTTCCATTATGGTAAAGTTTGAACAAATTCTATGAGAGCGTTTTCGAAATATTTTGAAATGTAGTTTTAAGAATGATAAAAACAGTGAAATAGCATGCTACCTACACAATTCGCTAATATTTTAAGAAAATGATAAGCTTTGGGAACGAGGCTTCATCTCATAGTGGTTTGACTCCATTGAAAACTGCATACGAAAAAAGAGGGGAATTGCTCTGGGCGATCGCGAGTAAGAAGAATTTTATTAACTTGCATTTAGCTGCTTTTGATACAGTTTTTGGACGTAATTTGGTCCATCCCTAAAAATTTCGCATTTTTCCAAAAAGCGCTCGATAAATTTTTTTATAAATTCGACAATCCCGAGATCAATCGTCAAGAAATATTCCCTGCAAGTTTTAAGAACATTGAAAACATGGAAGGCTTTTAAATAGGGCCTCAAATATAACCAATTTTCCCCCTAGATTTTGTGTTTACAAGTGAGCGTCCTCATTATTCACTGGCATTGTTTTCAAGTTTCATATACACGTGCACATTTAGCATGAAAAAGTACCCTCGGTTAAATCTTCGGGATATGCTAATTACCGGGTAAAGAGATTAATGATACATTATAACATCAGAGCAACTCTTTGGGATAGTTTCTGTGATGTTATAACCCGAGTAAGATAATTAAGTATTCCATCCTACGCGATGAGCCGTGACGTTCACCGTTTCGGCTCTCACTGCTATCTGTGACGACAAGCCAACTATTAGCATATTCCTGATATTTCTTGGGAAAGTAATCGAGAGTTCTTTTTTATGCAAATTTATATCTTTTGCTGGTTGTGCACGTGCATATGAAACTTGAAAACAATGCCAGTGAATAATGAGGACGCTCACTTGTAAACACAAAATCTGGGGGGAAAATTGGTTATATTTGAGGCCCTATTTAAAAGCCTTCCCTATTTTCAATGTTCTTGAAACTTGCAGGGAATATTTCTTGACGATTGATCTCGGGATTGTCGAATTTATAAAAAAATTTATCGAGCGCTTTTTGGAAAAATGCGAAATTCTTAGGCATGGACCAAATTACGTCCAAAAACTGTATCAAAAGCAGCTAAATGCAAGTTAATAAAATTCTTCTTACTCGCGATCGCCCAGAGCAATTCCCCTCTTTTTTTGGATGCAGTTTCCAATGGAGTCAAACCACTATGAGATGAAGCCTCGTTCCCAAAGCCTATCATTTTCTTAAAATATTAGCGAATTGTGTGGCTAGCATGCTATTTCACTGTTTTTATCATTCTTAAAACTACATTTCAAAATATTTCGAAAACGCTCTCATAGAATTTGTTCAAACTATGCCATAATGGAGGCAATTATAGCAGGTACATACTCCCTTAAGCGATTTCATCAAAAAACTCCTGGAACAGAGAAACACAAAGATAAATGAAAAACGTAATGGCGTCATTACGTTGCCATGGCGACTCCGATTGCAATAAAACCCAGATCATAAGAAATTTTCATCTTTATATAATACAGTTGTGGTAACCTTTTTTCCATATCTTTACTCATGCCGACGTAGTTAATGCTCAAAGTTGGAAGGTATCAACCCCACAAAATCCAGTCGAGCCACCTTAAAGCTCGGCACTAACCTGGTTTCTGTTATCAAAGAACAAAAATATTACTTTGAATCGGAAAGAATACTACTGTATAACGTGCAAGTAATTTCTCTTTTAGTTCATTTTCAAATGAACCATTAAAATGATATTTCTTTATTGATAAAAAGATTTGAAACAGTAGTTTGTTGACATTCTACCAAATTTAGATCAACAGCCTGTCCGATTAGTTTAATAAGCTTCCAAATCCAAAAATTAAATTACATAAAATATTTCGAAGTGAAATGATAACGAGAAATTTATAGTAGCAAGCGAAAATAGAGAAATGAAAGATAGCTTTTCATATCCAAGAATAAATATAAACTTATTTCTTTAGCTTACCTTCCGATTCTTGATCAAATAATTTTTTTGCGACGCTGTTTTGCTTAGCCTACAAATAGCTTTTGAGATGAAATAAAGTTCAAATTAGCTTAATGAGATAAATGAAAAAGAAAGACCAAAGGACTTTCAACAATGAAAACGTGTATAGAATAAAAATTCTCGGTTTAACTCTTTATCCTCTGTACTCTCCATGGCTGCTGGACATCTTTCATCAGCGCGGAAAAGTTATTGACAGCTAGCCCGCTTCCAAAAGCTCCGCCTCAAGTGAGACAAAATGTCTCACTTCTCCGAGTTTGTCTAGGCCTCAAAAACTTTCTCGGACCACGTGACCCGAAACGCATCGGCCGCCCATAATAATGAGGCCTAGGGACTAGGCAAGATAAACACCACTGCCAAACGTGAAGCCTTTATTACTCTCAAAGATCACAAGCCTACTTTCCGCAAGCAACCCCACTTGCCGCCTTATCAACCCAGCTAAATCTGAGATTGGAAAGATCAGCAAACAGCTCCTGAAACTAAACCAATGGAAAAACACTAAGGCCCTCTTAGCTTGGTTCACTCTGTTCACTGCTGGCATACAGCATAAAGCGGTTGCAGTCATTTATTGCATTCGACGTGGTAGAGTTTTACCCATCGATCTCCATCGACTTGCTGGGTGCCGCTCTCGAATTCGCATCGAAGCATGTCACCATTTGCGACGACGAACGGCATATTATCCTTCAGGCAAAAAGTTCTCTTCTCTACAACTCCGGTAAGCCATGGAGCAAGAGAACGTCATCAAACCTCTTCGATGTGACCGTGGGCAGTTACGATGGCGCCGAATCATGCGAACTCGTCGGCACTTACCTCCTTCACAACATCAAAGAAAGGTTCGGTAACGCATGCGTCGGCAGGCCGAGCTTATTAAGAAGGAATTGTATAGTATTTTCGCCAAGTACGGTCTGAAGATTACTATCGAGGCCAATAAGAAAATAGTAAACTTTCTTGACGTCACACTTAACCTGGCTAACGGTAAATACTTGCCATACAACAAACCAGGAAACATTCCACTCTACGTCAACAAGAAATCTAACCATCCACCCCGCATCATCGAAAACCGGTGAGGGTAAAAGGCAGAATGAGTTTGCGAAATGGCATGTGGAATGGCTTGCGGAAATCCATAATTATGCGGAATTAAATTTATGGAAAATGGCGCAAAGAAATAAATTAAACAGGAAAGCATGCGCGCGTCTCTGCCGTGTCGTCTTTGGCGCCAAATTTGAAGGAGCAATCGCCAGGCTAAAATTGAAACACAGCTGATACTCCAAAGGGTCACTCTTTATCATAACGCTAGAGGGTAAAAAACGCTCGCTGAACGTGAAGTCGGGATAGCTACAATTTAAGGGTTTTTTTTACGGTGAACCAATAAGATCATATTCGAGACTAAATGAACGCCTCGAGTCAATCCGTAATACACAAATCGAGTGAAGCGGCGAACTTTTCTCTGTCTCCTTTCGGCCTTTCCACGTCTCTTCGCTGATCGAGAACTAGCCAAGTCATTAACATGTATTTTTTTTAACAGTTAGTTTGATGCCCGAACGGTTTTACTAACTTAATAACGGTAAAGGTGAAGGAGAAAAAATGCCAAAAATAGGAAGGAAAAGAAAAAGAAAAGAGTTAGAAAGAAAGAGAAAAAGCACACAAACTCGATTGCCTGGATTTGAGCTCGCACTTCTCCGCCAGATGTTAGCTTCGCTCGCCTGAAACTTCACCACGTAGCCAAGGAAACAAAATTCAAGATAGGTTCGATCTCTGAATATTATGTCACGATCAAACACGCGACCCACCGTCTTAAAAAGAAACACTTTTCACGTGGTTTCATTAATATAGGTAAAAAAAGTGACGTTCATCGTGCAAATATTTTGACCTTGATATCGTGACCTTCCAAAACATCTTTTCTTCATTGGCGGACTTTCGTGATGTAGTATCGGTGCTGCCAGCAGCCAGACTAATAAAGGCAAGTAGAATCTTTGTGGTTGAGCAACAAGCTAATCCACCGTATGAAATCAAGGAGTCTTTTCTGGCTTTTTGATCGTCATCGTAGTCAAGCCCGCAACATCAAAAAGCGGCTGCTTGTGAGTTGATTGGCGTCAAAAAAGGGCACAATTTTCAGTTTAATTTATTTCTTTAAGTCATTCTGCATATATTACATTCCGCATAATTATGTCATTCCGCAAGCCATGCCACATGCTATTCCGCAAACTCATTCCTCCTTTTACCCTCACCGATCGAAAACATCTCAAAGTCCATTAACAAAAGGCTGCCCGAAATCTCTATAGATGACGATTCCTTTAGCAAAGAGGCGCCTCTTTATCAGAAAGCTCTCGATGACAGCGGGTACAACCACAAACTTGCAGTCTCAGTTCCTACAGCACAGTCTCCGAACTCTGGAAGAAGGAACCGCCATAGAGACATCATTTGGTACAACCCCCCTTTCAGCAGGAACGTGGCCACCAACGTTGGACAGCTTTGGACGATCCTTCCTAAAGATCCTCGACGAAGAATTTACGAAGGGCCATGCGCTGCATAAAATCTTCAACCGGAACACAGTTAAGATCAGTTACAGCTGCATGCCGAATCTAAAGCAAAGAATTGATGGCCGCAACAAATCCATTCTACGGAAAACAAACGCCGTACCACCTAAAGCTTTCAACTGCCGTCAACTAGCTCATTGCCCTCTGGACGGTAATTGCTTAAAATCAGCCGTGATGTACCAAGCCACAGTAGCAACGGAGGACAACAGGCCAGCCGAGACCTATGAAGGCCTTACTGAGAACTCTTTGAAGACCAGATACTCGAACCATAAGTCTTCTTTCAGAGACCCAAACAAGAGACTCAGTACAGAACTCAGCAAGCACATGTGGCACTTGAAAGACGCTAAGATTGGATTTAGCTTAACTTGGAAGTTCTTAAAGCAAGCCGCGCCGTTTAATCCCGCTTCAAATCGCTATAATTTGTGCCTGAGGGAAAAATATGTCATCATTTGCAGATAG